TAAAGATTAAGAAATAAAAACAAACAAACATGCACATAGACACCTCAGCGTAGGTTGCTGAATGACTGTTATTGCAAAGTGCACGATCAACAGAGTGTCACGTGACACTGGGTAGATTGGACACCTTTGCAATGTGCATGATCAACAATGAGTCACGTGACAGCTGGAAGAATGAGCTAACACATCATTACCTCTCTGAATTATTATTATTATTATTATTATTTTATTATTTTAAAAAGATTAAAATGGGGATTTAAATGATGATTATTTAACATTTATACAGATCATATTGATAGCTTCAAAAATGATAATAATTAATATAATCGAAATAGTAAGAATGAAAATTAAATAGAGAAAAATAAATCAATGATAGTGATAAGAACAGCAATAACAGCATTAAGAGAAAATATTGCAATGATTGTTACAATGATGGTGATCATGATATTCATAATGATGGTGATTATGATAATGATAATGAGAGTAGTAGTAATAGTAGCAGTGGTAGCATCGATAATAAAGATAGTATTAGTCGTAATATTGATAGCAGTAGAAATAATGATAATAGTGATAGCAATAATGATAATGATAATGCTAATAATCATGACAATAATAATAATAAAAATCGTAATCATGATAATAATGATAATATAGATAACGATAATAATGATAATACTAAAATGACAATAATGATAATAATGTTTATGATGGGGTTGATAGCAACAATAATAGTGATAAAAACTACCATTAATGATATGGATAATTAATCAATATTATTACTGTCACCGCCGATATTAATGATATCATTGCTATTATCTTTGTTTATGTTGTGATGTTGTTAATGATGTTATTATCCGCTTTATCATAATTACTGTTGGTATTAAAGATTCTATTGTTGATGTTATTTGTATTTTTGTTATAATGTTTATTATTATTGTTGTTGTTATTATTATAGATGTCCTTTGTGTTGTTATTATCATTGTTTTCATTATTCGTATTGTTATCATGATAATTATTGTCTTAATTATTGTTATTGTATTGTTATTATTATCATAATTAGTACTATCATAATTATTGTTGTTGATTTTTATAATTATTCATCATCATTAACGCATTTTGTATTATCACTGTTGCCAACGTCAGAACATCACTAGCATTATCGCTTACACTACATTCTAAAAAACACACACACACATACACATACATATACACATACACATACATACACACATACACACACAAACAACACACATACACACACACACACACACACACACACATCACACACACACACACACACACACACACACAACACACACACACACACACACACACACACACAACACACACACACACACACACACACACACACACACACACACACATACGCACATTGAACTATTTAGAGTATCACTTACGCTGTATATAACAGTATGTAATTGTCTGTCAATCAAACTGTTGCCTGATACGTATTTTTATCATTAACCCCTTTTTATCTCTTCTCTCTGTCTTTGTCTGTCTTCTTGTCTCTCTCGTTCTGTTTCTGTCTATCTGTTTCTTATGTCTATGTTTCCTTTTTACTCTCTCTTTTTTATCTTTCTTATTTATCTCAGTCTACCTGTTTGTCTCTCTGTCTCTTCGTCTGTCTGTCTGTTAGTTTTCTCTGCCCTCCTTTTAATTCCTCTCTCTCTCTTCTCTCTCTCTCTCTCTCTCTCTC